TTATGTGAGATCCTACTCATATGCCAATAGCTAGAAGAGGTCCGGATCTCGAGCCAGCTATCTAAATATTTAAAAATGGAAAGGTCCCCAAAGCCAGCAATAGAAGATATATATAAATATTTTTGTATTTATTATTTTTTTCACAAAGTTCAGAATTCTGGAGTTTAGTTTACACATAAGAACAAAGTGCTGCTTGTGTGTACTTTTTAATTTTTACATATTTTAATCAATTTCTGCTTTTAGTTAATTTGCCAACCTGAAGTTTTTCCGTCCGTCAACACACTTAACAGATCCACAAATGCTAAACATATACTAACTGACAGACACTCGGCACAAAAGAGGGTATATGTGTATATAATTGGATAGGTAAGTTGGAAATGTTTTGGGGCTGGAATAATCTTTGTGGCTGCTCCTCTGGGGCCAACCATATAAAACGGGCTGCCCACAAAATTCCTAAATGCTGGTGTTTAAACAATTCGATGGCACAAATAGCTCACTGTACAAATTTCTGTATGTTATGTTTTATATGAAATAAAGAACACGCTCTATTTGCATCTCTTATATAACAAGACATGGAATCAATTGAAATTATGGGATATCATGTAATGGCAAAACGAAGCATCATCCACTTTATTGAATGTTCAACTTATTTTCAAGTTTCTCAGCATTTAGAGAAAAGTCTGTCTGTCTGTCCCACTGTCTGCATATCCCATTCTATAGAGTCCATATGTCCGTCCGTCAGCTACAAAAGCTAGATACTTGAAATTAGACGTGTATTTATGTTCTCGAATAGCATCAAATTGGAAAATGGGTATTTTGAGATCGATTTCGACCATATCTCGCAGTTTTTAATAACTAGATAGTAGTTGCTCGTGTAGTATACACAGGTTAGGTAAATTTGACTTTTGGGATAATTGTCCAATTGTTCTTCCAAAAAATCAAAAAATTAAAGGTAGAGCCTTGCGCTTTAGCTTGTATATAGTTGGGTTGCCATGCTTGGGCCCATTCAATTTGTATATACGCAGTCGCACCGGGCATATCGACGCAGCTGCTGATTAAGAACAAACATAATTAACACACAAAAGGGGAGTGGGCGTGGCACAGAAAAACATTTAAAGTGGAATATGATTTAAACTGAATCGAAAGCAAATGGGGTCAAAGAAATGGGCCACGCTGACAGCTGCTGAGGCAAGAGCAGTCGGGTTGGGGGCCGAAAAAAATAACAAATTAAATATACATGAAGCTCACAATTACCAAATTTGTATGCTTAATGTAGGTGCGTGTGCAAGTGTGTGTGTGTGTGTGTGTGTGTGTCGTGTGTTGTGTGTGGCAGCAATGAGAGGCAGAGTCGACGTCGGCGACGTTCGCGGTAATGAAATTCAATCCAGTGTCCATTTCTTGCAATATTCCTGCTGCTGTTTGTGCAGGCATAAAAATTTAATAAGCAACCAAAAGTGGGCTATAATAAAACCGTGAGCCGTCGTTGCAGACGGCGCAATGCGATGAGCCGCTGCTAAATTCATCAGCCCACAAAACCAGCACGCCCCAAATTATGCTATTAAAAAAAAAAAATAAAAAATAAGAAACAAGCCCCGGCACAGTTGAAGCGACAGCACTGGAGTCAAAATTGACATAGGAGACAGGTCTGACAAACAGGTCCTGCACTCCTTAGAATGTGCCTGGCCAGAGGCCAAACGGCCTTTTGCCTCATTAGTGACGCACTTCGGGGTCGACTCAGGGGCCTGATCTTCTTCAACTCATATAGAAAATGCAATTCGAGTGATTATCTGTGCGTTAAACATGTCTTGAAATGAACATGAGCTAACCCAACCTTACTCAAGCTAACCTAACCTAACATTATACAACTTAACCTCACTTTAATGTACATAACCTCATTTGGATTTGCAGAAAATACCTTTGCAGTCCTTCTCAAGAAGTTAATAGCCAGAATTTCTGGCTTGACCAATATTGATAATAAAATAATAATAAAATTTAACAAATGATGCGTTTAATTAAATTCGTGTTGGCATTTGAAATGCATTTAAAAAAACATGCCAAGAAAATTCAATTCTTGAACGGTTGCACACATTTTAAGTAGCTAATAAAATGAAACGAGTCTCCTTTATGCTTCGCGACGAGGAAATACCAAACGCATAGGCTTAGCTATATCTATTATTTTGGACTTCGAAAGACTTGTATATCAACAACAGAATCGCCTCCGTTGAGTGTTCATTCATATCAGGGCCGGTGCAGAATACTCAACTCAGTTGTATTTGAAGAGAAAAAAAGCATTTATCAATGCGCCATGCATAATACTTCGAGAATGGTTTTTCTTCAATGCAACAAATACAAGCACTGAGAAATGTGTCACAAAAAGCGCTCAATGAATGAAGAGAAATGGCGAAAAACAAATGTGGACAAAGGCGCAGAACAAAAGCCAATTGAATTTACCTGCAGCTCAAAGGAAGAGCGACGCTCCTGGGATAGTGGTAGGAGCAGGTGCAGAAAAAGGGGCAAAGCTATCACTAAATTCAACGCAAAGTTATACAATTAACGAACGTCGCTGACGGCCATTGAATTTTGCCTACACGTGACTGCCTCCAGATGTTGTGCCACAGCGCTGCGGCATAATGATGCGATACAACGGCGGAGGGTGGTGGGGCGGCTATGCAGCGGTTAGGCAGCTAATCGAATCAGAAAACCGCAGCAGAGTCGCACACAAAATAAACATGTTTGGCTATCAGGAGGGGTCAATGCGGCGTATACGCAACGTCCGATAGATTTTCAGCGTTTATTTACAAGTCTTGTGCAAATGCGTGGCAGAGTGGCGAGGCGAGGCGAGGGGAGTTTATATTATTTTTGATTTCACTTCCTTTTTATTTTTTATATTTTATTTGCTTAACACCCAAAGCCAGGCAGGAATATGCGGGCGGAGCTATAAAAGGCGTTCCGTGAATAAATCATAAATGCATTGACATGAAATTTCAATCGTTTTGGGGCTTCGTCGATATTGCACTTAAACGTGGCATGCAATCTATTCGACGTATCGAGTTACAAGCATACGTAAATACGTGAGGGGAAATGCTCTGTAATTCGGATCTGTTAGCTTGATGAGAATTCGCGTAGTTATTTTTGGGATTAGCGCGTGACCAATCAATGGCATCCGAAATTTAATAGGATTTAAATGCGGTCTATTTTTGGCAACAAATACTTCCGTATTAGCTACACAAATGCAATCCGGACACTTACCTGCTCGCAGTAGGGCCATGTGCGGCAAAGACGTTTGTCTGTTTATGTTAAATGAAAATCTGAATTTCTGCGCTATATCATAAAATATATTAATATATACAATGGCTCACACGATTTTCAATTATATTCAATTTACTTTTTGTGTGATTTTCACTTGAAATCGCGCCAAAAAAAAAATAACTATATGAAAAGAAAATTCCTGCTGCCGCAGCTGCGACGACCGCTCGCAACGGCTTCGAGTTGGTAAGTGAAGCCGCCGCCAAGCTGAGCGCCAACTCGAAGTATTGCTCCTGGCTCCTACGGTTCATCCTGCAAGTTAGCCAGCAAGCAGTGCTAACTGTTATACGAGGGCTGTTCTAATTGATGCGGTAGCAATTAAGTTATACGCACAGTGGCACACAGTTCGAAAGACATGTTAAGAATTTTTATTTTAAGGCTTGAGAATGATTCAATATTGAACCTGCTATGAATTTATGATTGCTTTAAACGGATCAATATAAAAACTGACTCGCAGTGACAGCTCGGCTACATATATTACTTTCGATAATCGGTGTGCTAGTAATGTCTGCCTATATGTTCTTAATCAAGATGTATTTATAAAAAAAATATCTATCTATGTGAGTGTTATACTTACCATCTGTGTTTTTACTACCCATAATGTGGTTCAAAGTGGTAATCATGTTGTAACGCCGACAATATTGCGTATTTTTCTCAACTAAGGTAGGCTACTTTTGCATTAATGCCAATTAGAATAGATCCACTGAAGAGAGTCGTTTGACCAGTCCAAAAGTGTTTCAGGTAATATTAACTCAAGGCCAGAACTCTTCTAATGTATGTATAACAATTATGAGCTCATAAACGACTTGAACTACAATCAATCACTTTTTCACCCAACTCACGTTTTATTTATTTAAAGTGACATCTTGAAAGGTCATTTGAGCGATAATACACAAGCGAAAGACCAGTGTGCGTTGCTTGCTCTTGTATATTGTAACATGATCTTTGTTTGAACTTTTGACACACAAATTGTAGGGTACAACATTTGTTAAAATGATAACTGAACTTAATTGTTGTTTATTGATGTTAATTAAGCACAAAATGTCTCAGATAACTATTTCAAGGTAATTAAATAGACGGAAACCCGAAAAGTGAGTATGCACATATTTGAAAAGGATGTTTTAGTCTTCATGCACCATAAGGCAAGAAGGGTGAGTACACTGAAATAAATGTTTAACGAGGACCATCAGAAAGTAATCTGTCAAATTTGCGTTATAACTGTGGCATATAAATTTCTTTATGCTTTCTCTGTTGCGCGTGGCCGAAAAGTCATATTCAAAGTTGTTAAGCGGAACAAGTACAAGAAAGTCTCTAATCTAAATAGAGTGGAAAATAAATTGGTTAGTACGGGCAGATAGTCAGTTAGCCTATATATTATGCTCACTAATGCATACAGGGTATAAGAAGCTTGTAAATTATATTATAAATTATTTGGAAAAATGTTTTAAGCAGCACTCGCTGAGGTTCGAAAAGATGTCAGATGCTGTGCACTGCTTGGAGAACTGCTTGCTGCGCAGCCCAAGCGCAAAGCAGGCAGCCTTTCAAGAAGCGCATGGCATAAAGCAGTAGAAAGCAGTGCACGCCCACGTAAATTGAATAAATGCATTGCATAAAAACTGCATTAAATTAATTAAGTCAGAGTACTTAACTAACATAGTAAGTGGTACTAGGTACAAAGAACAAGGCGCTATCCAATGCATATGCTAGGCTGCGTTCAATCAGTGGCGACGCTGGCGCCAACCTTTACAGCTCGAAGCGCAGGTCAGGCACGTAAGCGTCAAGATGATAAGACGCCGCTGTCGCTGCCGCCGCCGACGGTGTCTGCTGCTGCAGCTGTAAGAGATTTGAGGCTGAGCAGCAGCAGTTGTGCGTCTCACAGTTGGTAGGTATAAAAATGCGAGTGCAGGGCCAGTTAGGCATATCAGTGGCAACTACACCTTCGACATGTGGGCACAACTCAGTACAATTGCATTGACATTAAGTCTGCTCGGCCAAGTCACGGCACAGCGCTACTTGGAGCAGCATCCAGAGCAGCAAGGACGTGGAAGAGGGGACTACACCGCCTGCGGTCGACCAGTGTGCGCCACCAATGGATATTGCTATCGCTCATTCCAGAACATTTGCTGCCTGAACTCCTTCAATTTGCAACTGCTCTTCGCTGGACAAAGGGGTAAGTGAGGGGTTATTTAACCAGTATGCTCTTCATCCTTGACATATCCTGCATCATTTCAGAATTTGTGGAAGCTGACATGCAGCACTGCTTGCCAAAACCAACTTGGTTCGACTACAACACACCCTACAGAGCTCGTCCGCTACCCTCGTCCTCCTCCTACGCCTATGCAGCCGCCTATGAGTCGCCCTATTCATACGAGCTTGGTGCTGCACAGGCCAGTGGCTCTCTGGCACCATACCCTTCAGAGTCATATAATCCTTATCGCTTCTATAAATCACAAACACAGGACATCTATTCCCCGACGAACGGGTTTGGGGGAAGAACTGATTATACTGGCACATGGGATCGTTACAGGGGAATGCAGGAATACTTTACTGAGCAGCCTGCACCTACAACATCCACTGCAACAGAATCCACAACAATAGCATCTACATCCAGTTCAACAGCTACTGCCACTGCGGAATCCACGGTGCCAACGACATCAGTTGCAACAACAGCAACCACGGGAGCAAATGCAGCAGCTAACGCTCAATCCCCAGTATCAACTACACCGACATTCGCATTAGGCTCAAGCACGGGAGTTACAACAGAATCCACTCCAAAACCATCCACAACGAGTGCCATAGAAATTACGAGCACAACAGTTTCAACACAGCCTACACAGATCTCAACTGAGAGTTCAACAACAGTCTCAAGCACAACAGCAACCACACCATTTATTTCATCTTCAAGCTCAACAGCTACAACACCATCCATACAAGAGTCTGCTTTAGTAGGGGTATTGAGTACAGCATTTAAGGAAGAATCAATACAACCATTGTCAACCAATTCAACAGGAATGTTCAATTCCTCAGGTATAACACAGTCCACAACAAATTGTTCCACAACAAATATACAACCTGCGCCAAGAAATTTAACAGCACAGCCAAGCACAGGTGCGCCTACAACACAGTTCACACTACCATCCACAACAACACAAGAAACTACACTATCTACACAGCTGCCCACAGTTAACTTCACGACACAGCCCACCACTAAAGCAACCACAATACTATCCACAATTCCATCTACATTAGAATCTAACACAACAACAGTAGCAAATACACAAGCAATCATATTGTCCACAGCGAACGCTACCTCAATAACAACGGAGTCCACTCCATCTGCAACAACGACTACCGCACCACAGCCAACTACCACAGCAGCATCGACAACAGCTTCCACAACAGCATCAACAACAGCTGCTAAAATAGGAACAACGCAGTTCACACCAGTCTCAACAAATAGCTCTACAGCACAGCCAAGTGCACCCATAGCCCCAATAGCTTCCGCAGCATTTATAATAGGATCCACAACATCAACAACAAGTTCTACAATAAGAGCACAAGAGTCAACGACTGTTTCAGCAACGAACTCCATCGCAGAGTCGAGCACGCCCGTTTCCAGCACATCATCCACAACAGCATTCACAACAGCATCGACAACAGCATTCACAACAGCATTCACAACAGCATCGACAACTGCATCCACACCAGCATCGACTTTAGCAACCACTTTATCAACTTTATTAGCGACCACAACAGAGTCCACGCGAAATTTGACAACAGCATCCACATCAAATGCTGCTATTGTAACACCTCAATCCATGCTTGCCTTAAGAGTGAACTCAGCACAGTTGAGTACAGCAGCATCCACAGCAGCATCCACAACAGCATCTACATCAGCATCCACAGCGGCATCCACTGCAGCGTCTACGGAAGCAACAACACAATTGACAACAAACTCCACAGCAGAGCCGAGCAGAGCTAAGGTTCCCACAACAGAATCCACAGCCGCCAGCAGCGACATGAATGCCGTAAGTATTTTCAGAGTGTAATATTACAACAATTTGCACGCGTAATATAACCTCAAGCAATCATAACTCAACTATCTATTTTTTCCCCGCGAACAGAGCACTCTGGTCTCTCTGGTCTTTAGAGTGCCCGACAGCAGAGTCTTCAGACTCGCACTGGCCTCGCAGATAACCCATCCAATAACTGGGCATAAGACGTGCGCCGACGAGACCAATTTGGAGCTGAAAGTTAAGGGCATATCGGAAACGCTCAAGTTTACTGGATGCCTCTTCAATAACTCAGCCCGCTCTGAATCGAATGACGGCACCACCTCGACGAGCCCAACGCCCAACAGCAGTACACATAAATCAGTTAACTATAAGCCTTATGGTTACCTCTTTGGCTTTGCCTATGGCAGCGGTTATGGATCCGGTTATGGACCCGGCTACGGATCTGGTTATGGACCCGGCTATGCGAGCGGCTCCGCTGCGGCGGCTAAGCCCCATAGCTGGGCTCAATATTATCATCGGCCCTAATTTTACTTAACGACCTACCTCAATGGGTCTCTACTATATTGTAAAATAATCAATAAGACTTTTTTATTGTATTCGTATACCTTGCATATCTATAGAGCTATTCACCATATAGGTAAATAAAATTTTGATACCCAAGCGATTGCTGTGCGGCAACGTGACATTTAATACCAAAAGTATTCCAAAATGTTTACCTTTCAGCTTTAATAATACTCGTAGTAATTCAATAATTGATGACTCGCCCGCTTATTGCGTAGTTTCGGGGCTGAGGTGGGTCTTTAACGATTTGCTTGGCTCATCATAAAATCATTTTCCTATACATTGAGTAATATATCCAAGAAATGCTATTGTATACCTTCATTTTTTTCACGAATTATTTCAAGCTGACTGGTGACCTTGACAATTGTCTATTATATCGTTATACGCTGCGTGCCAGTCAGATTAATCACTATCATTGTCATATATTCATAACTCGTAACGTTTTGAAAACAAGAATTTTAATTCACAAAATTTCCCATGGCGCAAAGTTTACGTATAACACGAAAAATACAGATATGAGTGTAGCTCACAAAACTTTCATAAGCTAAACAAAAAAAACCATACTAAAAAACACAAAAAACTTAGTGCTAACCGTCTAGCTTTAACCTAGAAGCGTTGATATAATTAATTACCGAAATGGAGCTCTGGACACGTAGACATTGCAATGATATGAGGGCATATGCCACAAGCCCATTGGAGGTCATCGTATAAAAAGCGCAGCCTGTGCGAGGTTAGACCACAGTCGAGCTTAGGACTCTACACAAAATGCTCGCGTTCCATTTGTTCCTCTGCAGTTTGTTTACGGGCGCCTGGAGCTGGAGTTATGGCGAACCCAAATATTATGCCTCAACGTGCGACTATATCAAATGTCCGGCCGCCAAAGACGAAGTCTGTGCCAAGACCCAGGGCTCACACCAGGCTGCGACCTTTGATAACGCCTGCGAGGTTCAGCGCTATAGCTGCCTGACCGGACAATGTATGTGGATAATCCGAATTCCGAGATCCGAGAAAACGGTTTCTATAATACTTAAAACTCCTCATTGACAGATTGGCACATACTCTACGAGGGACCTTGCGAGTGCCCAGTCAAATGTCCACTCACGTGTAGTCCTGTCTGTGCCGCACTGGGGAGTACGCAGAAAACCTTCCAAAATTACTGTGAAATGTTGCAGTTCATTTGCCATACAGGAGAACGTAAGAACTGCATATAACTCTCTTTCCATCTTATTCTCTTTACTTTCTTTACCTCATACTTTCTATCCTGTTATCGATTCTTTCAGCTTGGAAATACCTACGCAATGAGGCTTGCTTAGAGGCAGAATCCCAATATTCGGCGTATTCAGGACCATTCATTTCTCGTGAATCGTATCCAGTGTATGGACCCCATCCTTATGGACAACATGCGTATAGGTCACCCGCCTATGGCCCTCCAGCTTATGGCCCTCCAGCTTATGGACCTCCTGCCTACCAAGCCCCAGCCTATGGGCCCCCAATGGCATATCCCAGAGGCTACCAATCCCAACCACATCCGTATGCAGCATCGCAGCTGCAGCCATATCATCTATCAATCTCAAGGGACGCTTTGCCCACTGAGTCAATGGATGCGTTTGGCACAGCAACAACCAACATAGTTTCCGATAGATCTACAAGCTCTCCTTATACTGAAGCACCCACATCGACTGAATCATCAACAGTTTCGACAGCAGCTCCAACCAATTCAATTGTAGCGGCTAATGAGCCACAGCTTGTTGCACAAAGCTTAATCAAAGATACAAAATCTGAATCCGATGCTATTCCACAAGATCCATTAGCTACCGCTGTGAACACAACTGCTGTACCTTCAAAGTCCGTTTACGTAACAGAAGCTACCGTCAGTTCTACTTCGTATTCTAGTTCAGATTCGACTTCAGAATCTACTTCGGAAACGACACCTGTTTCAAATGATTCAACATCACCAAGCAATGAACCTAGAAGGGTTCAAAGTAAGGCAGCAGTAGCAAATCGGGAAGAAAACACTTCGGAAAGCAACACAACTCCTGTCGAAGTCTCTTCGAATGCTACATCGGCAGCGACACCTGTAAATTCAAATTCTGATTCCACAACAGAAGCTTCTGCCAGTTCTGGCTCGGAGTCCACCTCGAGTGCCCCACCAAAAGATATATACAGCTCTTATACTTCAACAACTTTGTACTCAAGCCCTGTTACGTCTGAGATAGCATCAGCTAGGAAGGCTGTGGACTTCAAAGTAGATAGCTATACGCCTACAGAGGCTGTTTCCTCATATACCGCTGCAAATAATACAACTCAACTGCCCCTGGAAACTACAATAGCTTCTGATTCCACAACAAAAACGACAGAAACTTCAACTGAAGCATCAACAGTGGGCAACGCACCACGATCTAGAGCTCAAAACTTAAGTAGAGCTGCAGCTGTAAATCAAACACAAAGTACTCTAGTTAATAATACCACTACGACGGAAAGTCCATTAAGCGATACATCAGAGATTACAGCCATAAGCCCTAATTCCACAACAGAAGCTCCTGTGAGTTTTGCCAGTAATTCCACTGCGGTTGAGTCATCATACCCAACAACAGTTCCATCATATGGAACGACTCGACAGTCCCAAGTTGAAAGCTTGAACTTATCCACCTCAAATGCATTACCGAATTATGCATCGGAATCGACAGGTTATCCTCAGGAAACTACCTCCGAACCTCCTGTGAGTTCGACCTCCGTCTCGACACCAGCTTCGACATCGCCAAGCACTGAGCCACAAGTGAGAGCTCAAAGCTTAAGCAGAGCAGCAGCTGTTAATCAGACCCAAATTGATCCAGTTAATAATACCACAGAGACTACAGCCATAAGTCCTAATTCCACAACAGAATCTCCTGTGAGTTCTGCCAGTAATTCCACTGCGGTTGACTCATCGTACCCAACAACAGTTCCATCATATGGAACGACTCGACAGTCCCAAGTTGAAAGCTTGAACTTATCCACCTCAAATGCATTACCGAAGTATGCATCGGAATCGACAGGCTATCCTCAGGAAACTACTTCCGAACCTCCTGCGACCTCGACCTCCATCTCGACACCAGCTTCGACATCGCCAAGCAATGTGCCACAAGTGAGAGCTCAAAGCTTAAGCAGAGCAGCAGCTGTTAATCAGACCCAAATTGATCCAGTAAATAATACCACAGAGACTACAGCCATAAGTCCTAATTCCACAACAGAATCTCCTGTGAGTTCTGCCAGTAATTCCACTGCGGTCGACTCATCGTACCCAACAACAGTTCCATCATATGGAACGACTCGACAGTCCCAGGTTGAAAGCTTGAACTTATCCACCTCAAATGCATTACCGAAATATGCATCGGAATCGACAGGCTATCCTCAGGAAACTACCTCCGAACCTCCTGCGACCTCGACCTCCGTCTCGACACCAGCTTCGACATCGCTAAGCACTGAGCCACAAGTGAGAGCTCAAAGTTTAAGCAGAGCAGCAGCTGTTAATCAGAACCAAATTGATCCAGTTAATAATACTACAGAGACTACAGCCATAAGTCCTAATTCCACAACAGAATCTCCTGTGAGTTCTGCCAGTAATTCCACTGCGGTCGACTCATCGTACCCAACAACAGTTCCATCATATGGAACGACTCGACAGTCCCAGGTTGAAAGCTTGAACTTATCCACCTCAAATGCATTACCGAAATATGCATCGGAATCGACAGGCTATCCTCAGGAAACTACTTCCGAACCTCCTGCGACCTCGACCTCCGTCTCGACACCAGCTTCGACATCGCCAAGCACTGAGCCACAAGTGAGAGCTCAAAGCTTAAGCAGAGCAGCAGCTGTTAATCAGAACCAAATAGATCCCGTTAATAATACGACTCTTTCGAATACCACACCTAAAGAGACAACGGAAGCAATTGAATCCACAACAGAATCTCTTGTCAGTTCGACTTCGAATTCCACATCAGAATCGAGCTCAGATTTAACGACAGTTCCAACATATTCATCATCAACAAGTGATGCGCCAGCCATAGATAATACTCACCGTGCTTCAGATAAAAATACAACTTTATCGGAGTTACCTAACCGAGAAAGTACGAATGGAACCCAGTTGATTGTACAAGTGTCTGAAAAGGATGACGTTCAGACAGTTAAGATCAATAATCAAAGTACCAATCCGAGTCCGACATACGTGTTCATATTTCTCTCCAAGTCCTCAGCACAAAAAGTGGAAGTATGAGCAAGTTTCGAAAGAAATGAATAGATTATTATGCAAAACAATGCCAGAAAAATCAACTAATCCCAATTTATTTATAAGACTTAAACTGTTGCCAATTTACATTTTAATATATATATATATAATTCAGTTAATTGTTTCCTATCTACATCAATATGGTTGGGTTTGGGTGTCGTTCCAGCTGATTTTGGGCTCGGTTCGATCTAGATCCCTTTCCAAAAATGTGGACTTTAATTGTCTAACAAATCCAGTCATGATATGCATATGATACGATTGGTCCCTAAATATTCCCATCACATATATGTAATAAGTAAACTTTGGATTGGTGTCAAAACGAATTTTAATTCTTAAGTACAATTGGTTTTCGATGTGGTTTCGGTATTTCAGGTTTCGGGCTGGTCGCAGTGTTCGCTTTGAAGCCCGTCGCATTGCGAGCCACATTGGGTGTGCCCAATTTGAGCGCCTTGATGGTGCTGGTGGTGCTGGCGGTGCGGTCAACGGTGGCGGCAGCGATGGTGTCCGCGATGGTGGCTGTGGTGCTGGCGACCTCTGGAGCAACGCTGATGCTGCTTGAACTAACTGTGGTTGTGGAGGTGGTGCCGTAGGGCACATAAAAGAATTTAATTTCCTCTCTCGGTGCGCTGCTTGTTTCGAGTGTCTCGCTAATGTTCGATATGGCTGTTGTGCTCGTTATGGCTTGTGGCTTAGGTGTGATTGTTGTGCTGGTGGTGCTCTTGGTGGTGGTGGTGGTGCTGGGCGGCGTATCGGTAATGGTGCCCACACCCGGCACATACAGCGACAGACTAGAGTCCGTGATGGCGTCATAGTTGAGGCCCACATCGGGTATATTGTAGACGCTATAAGCATGGACGGCACGCGAGACGGAAACATGGGGATTGCCTAGGTTCATGTAACGATGGAACTGCATGGGCGCCATCGTTGTGGTTGAGGTGGTGGTGCTGCTGCTGCTGGAGGCGGTTCTGCTACGCTCATTGGCCAGCCTCACGTAGATGTGCCTCCTGTTGGCGGGCGTGGCTGCTGTTGTGGATGTGGATGTGGTTGTTGTTGTGGTGGTGGTGCTGCTGCGTCGCCTGCCATGCTTACGCTTGCCTTTGCCCTTGCTGCCTGGCCTGGACTTGAGCCTGACATCTCGACAGGGTCCTTTCCTCAGGATGCGCATGGCTGGAATTGGGATTAAACAAAATTAGCGGGCGTCACAATTTTACTACAACTACTCGAATATACACACTTTGCTTGGTCAGGCAACCGCGTCGATGCGCCTCACACTCGTTCGCAAAGGTCACGCCCCGATCCTGCTTGGCTCCTGGCTCACCGACCGCACAGACAGGCGCGTATGTTTTATTGCAGATTATGCTGTCGCATTGCGGCAGACAGTGCTCCAGCTCGGTGGGCTCCAGCTCTGATTGGGGCATGGACTCTCATTAGCAGTGGCTCGCATGGAAACGTGCTGCCAACTTACCCGTGCCGTATTGGAAGAGCAGCTTCATGTTGGCCGCCTCCAGCTTGCAGTTGTTCTCAAAGTAAAAGTAGCTGGTGCCATTGGTGGCACACACTGGCTGCCCGCCGGTTCCGCACTTTGGCTGATAGTCCACATACTGATACTGAAAGGGTCCCAGCCGATCGTGGCCACCATTCTGCCCATGCCTAAAGAAATTGTCATACTGCGCCTGTGCGTACTGCTCATCGTTGTACTGCCAGGCGGCGTTGGCTAATCCTATAACCGCCAGGCTTATCAGCTGACTCCAGAGCAGAAGCTGGGCCATCCTCGTCGTCCATTTGAGATCTAGCCGTTGCATCGTCTCCAATTTTTAGTTGGTAAGTGATCTCTGCCGCAGCCTCGGTGCGTTTTATACCGGCCCATTGGGCCAGCATCTGGACTTATCTCCGATTTCAACACCCCCACGACGTGTCGATATGCGGTGTTCGCATCGATGCAATCGGTCGCTGGGCAAATGCATTTTTGCAGTTGCCGCCGCTATCGAGTGACCAACCAATGACTGGGCCAAGATTGCCGGTAAACGGGTTAACGAACGCAACAGTTGGCCAAGATAATGCCCGCTCGTATCTGCCTTTTTAAAGGGGACGGGAAAGTCAGCATACCGACTACATGGTTCTCTATTCGTCTTTCGTCATCTGGCCAAAGCAGAACCTGGCGTAATTCTTGTATACACTCCCTTACTGCCTCGCAAAGTACCAACAATCTCTATAAATTGTTCTCTTCAGGTTGGTTGCATTTTATGGTAGACCTTGATACAAAACCATTAAGAGCTTCTTTGCTTGAAAGCTTCAATCGTTGACGCTCAGCTTTTGCAAGTTTGCAAGTTTGTTTTGGCCATGCTAAGTGAGATTTTTGGTAAGCTCGTTGAGCTTTTTAGTGGTGAAAAGCTTTCATATTGTGCCATACATATATTTGAGACTGCCATAAATTTATAAATTATGTGCAAATTTAAATGTAAAATGCTAAATATAGCTTAGTTTATTTTCTGCGAGGTTTCAGGATTGGCGCACAATTTGGCTGCTAATTTAATAAAACAAAGTTAGTTCATTTTCAATCGGCATTTATTTTTGTAGCACTTAGTTATGTCAATGTATTCAATTCCGTCCGAGCGCAAGCTGCGCGAATTTTCAGTACAGGGGAGGGGTGAGGGGCAGGGTTGGGGGTCTGCTGTGGTCCCTAGCAAAGGTCGATTTTGGTGGGGGGAGGGGGTTATAGGTTAGAGGGTTTCGTGGTACCGCTCGGAACTGTGGTGAAAACAAAATTGGGCATTAATTGTGAGAATATGTTATTCGATTACAATCAAAAACTTACCGGAATTCTATATAAGCGTACAAGATGAACTGTCGTGAACAGTTCATCGATATGGCATATTGCTGCCTTCTAATAGTTTCATTATCAAACAGATCCACTCGATATTTCAGATAAGCATATACATACAAATCACGTATATATATTATGTTCCTTAAATATATTGTATATTATATACATATTTATTGCAGAATATGTACATATACAGCACGGTCATGTTCGACGCAAACTGCGCGCCCCCAAAGTGGCCTCAAGCTGAGGGCGTGGTACCGTCGTGCTAAATAATATAATGTATATGTATAATAGGGAACAATTATGTGTATTGCCAGAGAGGGAACTTACTACTACTACTCTTATCTTTGAGAGATAAGTATGTATGGTAAAATAAAAACTTCCATTAGCATACAGAAACTATATATATCAATAATTGAAATTAGTTTTAATTGAATAAGAGTTGTCAGTCGGCTACTCACAAATTATTTTTTTATGTGCGGTAACTGTCTCCGCATACATTCTTACATCTAGTAACTCATCGATAATAAGCATCAGTATTCGTTGGTGGATCTGTTTTGATAAGATTCAAACAGGCAACCAGAACACGTCCAGCAATCAGTTGGATCTATTTATTGGTAAATAGATTTGTGAGAGAATTATTTTCTATTCTAATATATATCAGTACCCATTTTTGATATATATTTGTATTAGAATGGCAATTACTCAATTCCTGTCATATTGGTTAAATTTCCAATTTATTTTATTTCAGTTCCAATTTCTATCAATTTCTGTTCGTATTTGTATTTGCCTATTTTACTCCCTATTCTACGTTTGTTCCTATTAACCTATATCTATATCCATCTTTTTTATATATCTGCTTCGATTTTTGTATCGATTACCGTTTCTAAGACTCCTCGTCCCCACGTTTCGATTTTTTTTATCCCTATATGCCTTCTCGCTTTTATTCCAGTTTTCTATGTTCCTATGTCTATAATTGCAGCTTCTTTCATGCATATTCCTATTTTTTCCATTCTATCGACCCATCTAGCTTCTTAAGACGGTTCTCACTTACCTGGCGTGTTCCATTATAGTCAGTGAAGTATTGGATTATCGGTAAGTCTTGGTTTTTCCATTGTTGAGGCTAATTCGTTCAATGGGATACGCTCCGCACAGCTTGAGGTATGTTGTTTTTATCGTGTGTGTGTGTGTGTGTTTTTTTTTATCTACATCTAGGTGTAGATGAACACTTGCAGAACTTTCGTACGTCCAGTTATAAAATTTTTCGTCCCTTTATGCACAATTAAACACAAATATCAATCAAGCAAACTCAGTTTCTTTGAGTTACAATTTACAACATATTTCACGCTTTTCAATTTCGCTTCTTGCCAAAAAAAAAAAAACACAAATTTTGAAAACCCGAAAGGATTACGAAAAATAATATGATATGTAATTTTTTCACTTTTCAATTTTTAGCCGAAAAAAGAGTTGTTTTCCAGATGAGCTCTGGGAGTAAACTGATATAATTTCATAAGAGCACCGGCTCCTTGGGGTTGAAAGTCGAAAGCAACGCCCACTAGATCTAAAAAGAAACCCGAATATAATTGATGTGACATTTAAAGCAACGCACTTCTGATTATCTTAACTCGCAGCATTTAGTATGAATTTGGACCTGATAAGAATATGACGTGAATAAGCCGCAAAGAATGGAAATAAACCCAATTTCCATAGCTAATGGCTTTTTGGGAAACTGAAATGTTTTCCTTTAATCGCGCAACAACTTTTAATCATACTCGCGGCATTTGATTATCTCATGGCCAGCCAATAATTGAGTTCTAATCGTTCTCCGTAGAGCTGAGCCAAATTCGTTTGGCAATTTGCCCAAATATCATCTCCCGTTTGCCGCACATCGTAATCACATGTGTGCCCGATGCAGAAAACTCCCTCAAAAAGTAAGAAACTGTGTGTTGCCAGCATCTCATCAGCTCATCAAGATGTTAACAACCTCCCCAAAAGAAAATAAATAAAAAAATGCCCATCGATCATCATTGCTACCCAAGCCCCCCGCAAGCCCCCTGCCCAACCACTCGTTTGTGCCCATAAATTGTATGAATTATTTAAATATTGATTTATTAGTTGAAATTTTTCATCTAATTTAATAGGGTGAACGGCCCAGTGCCTGTGCTGAGAGAGGAGAGCAAAGAGCGTGGGGGCAAGGCGCAGGGCGCAGGGGGCGGGCTTAGGTATATGCTTCAGTTTGCAATAAATTTACGAGGGGAATGGAACGGGCAGGGGAGGGAGGGTAGGGAGAGCGGTGTGGGCAGTTGGCATATGCTGCCATATTCGATGTGTGTGTGTGTGGAAAGGCATAAATGAAAAAATTGAAAATTAAATGTGGGAAAAGCTGCTGAGAAGCCTTTGACAAGAGGCTGAAACATGGCCGCAGATTGTTGTAAGCTGTTATTGCAAATGTTATTCCCGTTGTTGTTGCTATCCGTGTTGTTGTTATCTGGCTAAATGTTGTCTGGCTAAATGAAAACTCGTTTATTAATCTGCTAGTGCGTGCGTCGTTGTGTGTGTCGCTGTGTGTTATACTCAAGCAAAGAACAGACGCCTTTTAGCACCAGCCAACGCACGCTTCAAATGCCCACCACACACACACACACACAGACACACACACATACACACGCATGTGTGCGTATGCAAAGTTTATCCAGCGTCCGCTTCTGCACATTAATTTACTGACCTTTTTGTGCCTTTCGCATAGTTTTCCAACTGCGTCCCAAACAGACAACCTCCTAGACACACACACACACACGCACACACACGCACACACACGCACACACACGCACACACACGCACATACACACACACCCACGCCTGGACACACCCCATCACACCGATTTCGGCTACCTAGTGAACACTGCCAACAGACTACACCACATGACCGCCATACACTTGGGCAACGCACAGCTCTGCCGTGTCCGCGACCATGTCCGTGTCCGTTTCTCCCGTTTCTACTTAACAAAATGCGGTTTGCAGTGGGCGTATGAAATACTTGCCCAGGGCAGGCAGAGGGAGCTGAATGAGCAGGCAGTGGACAGCTTTGAAGTTGGGGTACGTTATTGTCCGTCGCAAAACATTACATCGTATGATGAATTTGTGACATTTTTGCAGTTTGTTTGTTTATTTATTTTTTGTGCTTTCTATTTATACCCTGAACCCATTAAAAATGGGTATAGGGGTATATTGTATTTGTGCAAAATCCAAATCTATGTAACAGGCAGAAGTAAGTTTTTCCGACCCCATAAAGTATATATATTCTTGATCCGACCCCATAAAGTATATATATTCTTGATCAGCACCAATAGCCGAGTCGACCTAGCCATGTCTGTCTGTGTGTCCGTCCGTCCGTATGTATGAATGCAAGGATCTCAGAACCTATAAGAGCTAGAGACTTGAAATTTTAGATGTAGATGCTCCTAGCTCCCGCGCACATCGAGTTTTTTCCGATAATCGATAACTTACTCCGTTTCCAAGCAATTGATAAAAATCGATATCGATATCCTGTTTTTTGGGCAATTTTGGTAAAGAATAAGAGCTAGAGTCACCAAACTTGACATATAGATTCTAAAATAGAATATATATATGCATTTGATGTTGGAAGAAGAGGGTTCAGGGTATTCCCTAGTCGGGAGCTCCCGACTAGAACCTCTTACTTGTTTTACTTTGCTGTCGTCCTGCATCATCAAACACACACACACACACACTGAAAGATATAGACCAAGCTACCCTGTAGAGTATTAAAATCCCATTGAAAAAATGCTCCATATATAGCATCGTAATGCACTGACATATACTCTTTGGCCAGACCACATCGATCTCTTAACATATCTATATATTTATGCATTATTTCCAAATTTAAATCAAGTTTGTTCTTGGCTTTGCCTAGCGTCCAAGCTAATGTCTCGATAAAGAACAAAATATCATATATAAAGCGAAACAAAACTCCAGCTCTATTGAAGACTATTCAGTGGGAAAACTTTTCAAATGTCAACTCAAGTTAGTTAATTGATTGTAATGACATACCCTTTGATCAGTGAGTGGTTTGTAATTATTTTCAGCTGAACTATTCTGAAATAATAATGTAATTGGATTTATTTTTTCTGCACACAACATACAATTGGAGCTCAGTGGGGCTTGTGGGGCATAATGCAGTTTGTGTTTAATAAGTAATTGGTTTTATATATCTATATATATTTGTATGTGTGCAGTTGCTGAGAAAGTGCAGTGTCACAAGCATTTCCGTCGAAACGAATTATATTACAATATTTCCATTGAAGTCCATTTCAATTGCTGCTAACGAAGAGCAAACAATTTGCTGTGATTTTAAGCTGTCACAAAGTTTTTGTTTAGTTTATCATTTGGAATTCTGGGAAGTGAACAAGAGATATATTTTAAATAGAATGCACTTGCCGCTTAAATATGAAATTTATTACTCAAACAAATAATACGTATTCTGTAAATGAAAATTTGCTTGCCAGACAAAATGGCGTTTCCCAAAAGCGGATATTCAAAAACTAAAAAAAATTCGAGTGTTAAGATTACTAAAATAGTAAAAATTATAGAAATAATAAGATTAACAATAATATATATACGAAGTATAATGATAATAATAAGATCAATAATGTTAATAATAACACTAACAATAACAACAGTAATAATAATAATAATGATGGTAATAATACTCACACTAATGATAATAATAATAGCATTAATACTAATATAATTCTAAAAATTTTAATAGCAATAAAATTCGTAATATTTATAAAACTATAAATATAACTTTTATATAAGTACTATAAGAAACAAAAACAAAACCTTTGCAGCAGACGCAGCACCAAGTCATAGATAAATTGGGCCCAAAATATAAGAAAAGGTTGGGTACAAATAAAGCTCACTGCGTATCTTGTTAGTGAATATATACAGATACATTTGCAGAAGATCGGGCAATTGTAAATTGAAAATCCAATTATTTGATTGAATTTTTAAACATACTTGGCGAAGGTATAAGACATACTAGTCTGGATTGAGAACTGGATTGTACGCTGTGGAAAGCCAGATTCGCGAACTAAATATAATCCCCCAATTATTTCTTAATATTAACTGATGCTAACAATAAAAATTGACAGCTTAGTTGATGGTCGAAATGAATATATGTAGTTAATACTGTCGGTCTACAATAATTCAAAACCATTTATTTACCATTTATTCTACGCTATTCAAAGAAACCTTTTTTAATCTTTGGGTTATCCGCACCAAATCCTAGGCACTAGAAAACGTTAGGTTACGTTTAGAGTGCATACACTTTATTCTGTATACATTTCACACTAATTCTTTTTTCCCAAATGAATTATTAAATGTTATTTATTTTGAGTGTGGCACAAACAATGTGGCATGCCACACGGAGAAGCTTGTAAAACACTCTTTTATTTCGTATCTGCCAACTTGAAGCACTCGGGCTGCACAGCTATGGTGCGTTCCTTTGTTTGCAATAGTTTTATAAATTCTATCTATTGTTCCGCACACATACACACGCAGACCCACAAACACATATGCAGATTACTCTGTTGGGATGAAGCGAGGTTGCGCTGAGGTCCAGAATGCTTTAAACTTTTCACAGCTCTAAGAGTTGACGCTACTCGTTGGGCTGTTGATCCGCAATATTGCTACAGATGCAGCAGTCAGATAAAAGATAAACGATAATATATAAAAGATGCTGTCATATTTGAAGGGCTTTATTGGCTGACAGCTGCAAAGCGACTGCCGCAGCGTGCCTTGAGAATTACGAAAGGGCTAAGTAGGCTGGATCCTCTATTTGGGCAGTACTCAGTAGTGTTTCAGATTCAGTAAACCCCCCTACTCCCATTAACCACCGTTTTCAAGTATAGCTCTCGATCAAGGCCCGCAATTTGACATGGACAAGCAGTGCAAAATGGCGGAGCAGGGTAAGCACTGCTGTGCATCAATGAGCACTGCTTGCAGCATAACCTCACTTGCAATCACATTTGTAGAGTTGCCGCTGCTGTTTCGAATTGAGAACTTCTTCAATATGATCTACGCATACATTCTGGCCAATTCTAAAGACTGCTGGACAGCAATACCAGCGCCCGACGGCATCATGCGCTGGTGCAGCGCCAGGGGCATCCATCAGTGGTGGTGCCTATACCCAGCGGAGCGGCCAGATCCGAGTGTTCCGTTTCAAGTTTTAGCATTGGAACGCGTGTCGCAGAGTATGCTTAATGGGCATTTTAATGTTGTAAATTCTCAATTATAAATTCTTAATGCTAAATTCTAAATTCCTGACTAAGAAACGTTGCTGGAATTGATGCGTTCGTAAACTCCCCCAATCCCAATCCCCCCACTGGCAATCATGAGCTTAGTCATGACACTTGTAGCTGGTGTTGTTGTGATCGCCTTCCATCATCATGGAATCGTCTTCGTGATATTCATCGACTTGACATTCCTCGGCCACTTCCATTGTGTTGAGGTCGTCACATTCGTCGGTGATCTCCATTATCTCGATAGTCGTCTCAATTTGCCCTTGAGAGAGGGGATCCACTATGTCCAGATCGGCCGGCGGCATGGTAACAGTCGGCACATTTGAGTCCATGTCCTCGTCGGCCTGCACCTGTTCCTCCAGCGACTGCATCAGCATCATCATAAGCAGCGGTTTGCTCTGCGACAATCTGAAGATCTTTGGATCCGTGTCGGCAACCATTATTTCAAAGATTCGCTTCTGAATAAATCACTCTTAAATATATATATATATATATATATATATATATATATATATATATATATATATATATATATATATATATATATATATATATATAGTGGATATATGTACTTATATATAGTTATATATAACCGTTTCACACAACTTGTCGCGGTTTTTTACACACTCGTGCTCTTGAGAACCGAATATTTATATATATATATATTGTTCAATAAATACTTCTACATAGACACACACTAAAATTTGACAAAAACTGCCTTGAGCTTAGCTATAGCAAACGTCTTAACAGCTTTTGACAGCTGATAAAAATGTAACTAGAATCTCATTTTGCCAACTGGGCGCATATCCCAGGCTTCTTGAGGATCCCGCTTGCAAACGGACCGCAGAGCTCCGGAAGGACATTCAGGATGCTCGCAACTATTTCTCTCTATCATTCCCAATACTCTTTTTTTGTTAAATATTGCACATTTTACACAAGCTAATTCTATTTTCTATAAAAGATGCCAAAATTGGCATCTACAAAATATAGTTAGAATATTCTTTAATATTATTTTATATTATTATTATTGTTTATTATTATATATCATTTTATTTATATATTAAATCTGAGTCTCCCTTAAAGATTCTTTATTTTAAACAAAACATAATTTGTTATACCCTGAATGATCAGCATCAATAGCCGAGTCGATCTAGCCATGTCCGTCTGTCTGTCCGTATGTATGAACGCAAGGTTCTCAGAACCTATAAAAGCTAGAGACTTGAAATTTTAGATGTAGGTCCTCCTAGTGCCTGCCAGATCGAGTTTGCTTCCGTTTTTTGGTCAACAACTCATTTCGACCCATCAATTTTTAATTTGTTTGAATGGCTTATGATAGTAGGGATTCGTACGAATTCAAAAAGGTATAACATTTCAAAAACAGGATATATTTACCCGAGAGTTCAAAAAAAAATCGTCAAAAAAGTTTGTTTTTTTAATTTATATATGTTTATTGTATTGAATCAAAAAATAGCATACATTTTTATTACAAAGCCGTTAACTTAAGTATGTCGCCAATCCTGGTTGGCTCCTCAGGCTTTATCGTGGACAAACGTCAAAGCCGTCTTCTTTGAGTAAGGCTGCACCGTCACGTAGGTAGTCGGTGGGCTCTGGGGCTGCTCCTGTGTCGTGGTTGGAGGAGGTCTCTAAAGGATCTTTTCTTGAGCCTTCTGACTACACACCTCTCAGCGAGGTCTCTTGTATGGGTTGGCGAATGCTTCGACTCTGAGATTACTTGGCCGAGATAGTCTAAAAAAATAAACAAAAAAGGTTGATTATACCAACGAAACGTTTTTTGGTCAACAACTTTTTCCAACCCATCAATTAATCAATTAATTTCTTTGAATGCCATATGATAGGAGGGATCCGTACGAATTCAAAAAGGTATAATATTTTAAAATCAGATTATATTTACCCCAGATTTTCAAAAAAATATTCAAAAAGGTTTTGATATTCGAACGTACCCCAGGTAATAGCTCTCGGGTAATAGCTCCGCGCGGAGATATGACGTTCCAAAACGACATAACTTCCCTTGGAGATATGACGTTCCAAAACGACATAACTCCTCGCGGAGACATAACTCGGTGCGAAAATGGAAACTTTTTCGATGATTATACCCTGAACCCATCAAAAATGGGTATACGGTATTTGTGCAAAATCCAAATGTATGTAACAGGCAGAAGGAAGCTTCTCCGACCCCATAAAGTATATATATTCTTGATCAGCATCAATAGCCGAGTCGATCTAGCCATGCCCGTCGGTCCGTCTGTCCTTCTGTCCGTCTGTGCGTCCGTCCGTCCGTCCGCATGTATGAATGCAAGGATATCAGTACCTATAAGAGCTAGAGACTTTAGAGGTAGGTCTTCCTAGTGCTATCGATAACTTGCCCCGTTTCCAAGTAACCGATAAAAATCTATATGAAAAACCTGTTTTTTGGGCAATTTTGGTAAATAATAAGAGCTAGGTTCTTGACATGTAGCTTCTAGAAGAGTATATATATTTGCATTTGTTCAAGTAAGTAACCTATAAGTAGTACTTCGGTAGTTCGTGGTAGTTCCTAAAAACTTCTTAAGTAACACGCTTTTTAGACTGGTATTATTTTCCTATATAAGGCAGCTCTAAGGCTGTAATTCCAGTGACTTGTAAACTGTAAACTTTAAACTGTAAACTGTAAACTGTTAACTGCAAACTTGTTAAAGTGCCGCACGATATATCCATTGTTCTTTAGAGAGAGTCATTCGTCATATTTCTGCTAATTTAGGAAACTCTTGCTCTAAAGATGTGCAAAAAAGCCAATCGACTCATTTTTCGTTTTGAACACAGTATACATAGACTTTAAATTTATTTACATTTTACCTTAAATATATATATATATATATATGTATCTGTATTTCTCACTCCCTTGTCTATGTATAATCAGAGCCTTTAAATCTTTTAATCCCAAGCTCTGCTCCCACCGCTTTTTCCAGTTTTCTTTCAAGGTACCCCCTTCCCAAACGGTCTTAATTGCGGCCACTCTTGGGAGCTGTTTTAGTCTTATATGTAAATAGGATGATGAGTCGTTTTGTCTTTGTGGACTCGTTTCAGGACTTTGCATATATGGTTTTGGTTTTTATATCAGTTGGTCCAAAGCTTCTTAAAGTTATCTATTTGCAAACGAGTAGGGCTTTGCGTCCACAAATCATTTAGCCCTAAGTTATTGGCCTGCTGCCACCCACATTCTCCTGTTCTTCTTTTATTCATTTGTCAAGCTGGCTAGCCCCCCGCTGCCGCTGCGTTTATTATGCTTTTAATACCAATTCTTATTTCACACGAAAACTTTTACTCGGTTCAGACTTTGGACTTGGACCTGGAACTTCTTTTTGTTTTAGTATGAGAGGGTATTATAATTTTCTTATGTAGTGTGTCACGGATAGCAACGAACATCGCCGACTTTAGAATGCATATATATTCCTCTTCAGTATCAACAGCCAAGCCAAAATACCCGAGCTCGTATCGCAGCACTATATGATATAGCTGCTACAGAAACGATAGAAAATGAAGTTCCTCAACTTTTTTATTTTCCATTGAGCAACATATTTTTCACATCAGAATAACATATAATCTAGCTCTATAGCCAGAAATCGGTCGAACAGTGTGTTTTCATATAGAAAATTGTTGTGTTTTTCTCTTGAGGAAAAACCTTTTAATATCTCACTTTTATTGAGCATACTTTTATAGGGTGTTTAACATTCGGCCTGCCGTAGTTAGCTGTTGTATTTTTTGTTTTGCAGTCTGCCTGGTGGAACTTTTATCGTTGGTCTTGTTAGTTTTCTGTAGTGCATGTTGCGTCGTCTCCTGTCGTGTTGTTCCGATTGTGGTAAATGTTAATAATGGCCCAATGTTTGCCAAAGGATTCCGTTTCACTTACTCCGATTAGTGCTGCTGCTGCTTCTGGTGGTGCTGCTGCTGTGGCTGTTGTTATTTGTGGCTTGTCCTTGTCCTTGCAATTGTGCTGGGCCTAGACCTGGGCCTGGCTTACAATTATAGTGATTCCAGGCAGCACAACTGCTTTTCCGAACTTAACGCAAATCCCTTTGGCCCAGCTCTTGGTATTGGTGCAAAGTGCAATTAAAGATTCAACCTCTCGGTAAATAAAACTAAACTGCTTTTGGGCAGCTCCCAATTCACAGCTCGTAGCTTGTAGCCCGCAGTAACTAACCTTGCCGCAAATGAAGCAACACGTGTTGCAACAGTGTGCTCCATTTTATTTTATGGATGACAAAGTGCTTTTGATTAGGCGGTTACAGTCTTAAGTTATAAAGCGGATAGGTATACTGCAGTTCCACTTGCATCTTTAGGCTTCTCCTCTCTCTCACTCTAACTTGCCAATACAATATTCAAACGTTTCTAATACGGCTATTGGCTATATTTTTCACGGGAAGCAACTAAAGAATATCGGATTTCATATTCAGGGCTTAAGGACTACATTTCCCAACAGCATATTGAAAACTACCTAGCCTGGAAATCAAAGTTTTCGACTTTTCACGCACATCTTTAAATGCGCTCTTTTTATGTAACATATTATATTTGAACATATATTTTAATTTGTGAAGCTAGTTGCAAGGCAATTTAATTGAGTTTAACAAGTTTTCACATTTTCCAGCTGGCAGCTAAATTTTCTTACTGTTGTAATATATTTTCCCTTTGATTAATAGTCAACAAAACAAGTGTCAACATAAGTTTTTGCTGCATAAGAGACGTTAAATTGAAGACTGAGGGGTTTTTGCACGTCGGACCAGGCTCTTTTTACAGTCTGGCGAAATGTATTGCAAAACCTGTTTCCATATAAAATGTAGACCAAAACATAACTAGGAATACTTTAAGCTGATTGTGGCCATGGCTGCAGACTTTTCTTATATCGATTGCGCAAAAGTAACATATATTTTGAATTGAGATCTTAGAGTAAAGTGCTTTAGCGACCTGCTGACCTTTCTGGCAGATCCACATGACGTATACGTAATATATATACTTATAAGTTAAATTTTATATGGTCATATTCGGGGCACTTGTCTGTCTGGCAGGCAGCGACAGCAGACATTGTACGTATGTATGTACATATGTGCATATAAATAATATAACAGTTATTAGAAGCCACACACAATGCACACACACACACAATTACCAGCGACTTCCTGTTTGGCAGATACTTTGCCAGCCATCTTGGCGCTGTTCTCATAATGGTAAACAAGTCAACAGTCCGCAGCGAGTGTGAGTGTGTGTATATGTGTGTGTACTTGTGTGGACTTGTGTGTATATGCGTCTGGTGCTTACCACGCCCAGCTACGTCGCAAGGACGACAACAATAAGAGCGGTGACAACAAGTAGCAAAGCTTCAGATGCATATGCTCGACTTAAAGATACTCTGTAGAATACCAGGGCCCACGAATCACATCAGCTTATTATATATGGGGTATACATGGGAGGGCATACATGTGTTTGAAATCCATCGATAGTACGACATCTGTTCCTAATAAAAAACAATAATCTCCTATTAAAATCAACAAAAACATGCAGAGCTACAGAGTTATAAGTAATAATACAAATAACTTATACATAGATTTTGTTCAATCTAAATTTTAGCCTTCCAATTTATCCGATGGATGTGAAGAGACCGATAAAAAGGCGATATTAGGAATTAGCGCGTTCTTTAAACTT